TGGAAAGAGGTGGGGGGGGTGCCACTGTGTTTGATTTATTACATGAGCAATATCTTAACAAATAGAAAAGATAATACATTTTTATTATATATTCTAGCTTGAGTTTCTAATTTGTATGGAACTATAGACTTAGTATTTCGACTTCACAAACATCTAATACGAACCAGTGCTGCATTCAACATACCACGTGACACACAAAAATCAATGTCTATCTGTATTTTTAAAATTTATTTTTACATTAAGAAATTGAGTAATATACAGTACTAAAATCTGAATTATAATATACAGTTTGATACCAAATTTACTGACATAAATTCATGAAATAGTAGTTCAAAATTTTTGAATGCGAGTCAACAAACAAGATGATATGGCATTTCACCCATAACCCATCTCGATAGGGTTAAATTAAATTGTTTTAATATTATTACTTTTCTGCCATTTTTAACATTAATTCAACAAAAAACCTATTTCTAGACAAAACAGAGTTCTACATCCACAATATTGAATATGACCAATCAAAAAATAAAAAAAAATCACTGCAATTAGATTTTTATAATAGAAACTGATCAATACAGTAGTATTCTGTGCTACCTACAGGACCATATACTGGTGGTAGTTGCTGCTGCTGCTGCTGTTGTTGTAATATTTTCTGAACCAAGGCAGGATTCAAACCACTAAAACTGTTGCCCATATTGAGACTAGATGATTGGCTACCTATTGCTGGATTAAGCAGGCTAGGAGTATTGCTACTAAACCCTTGGTTCTGAAATGAAGAGAAACATCTTGGCTGAAAAATCATTCTGTATTTACAGTCAAATTTCAGAAAACAAATATTGTTTAATCAGTAAGGTACTGCCACTTTGAAACATATGTCTGAAAATGATGTATAAAAATTCCCAAAAAAGAAACTACACTAACACAGTGACAGCAGATAAAGTTCACATTTATAATCAATAAATGAAGCAGTACATATGTGAAAAGCCTTTTCTGATACTCATTTAATTATGAAAATACTAGATTTATCAAATATGTAAGCCTAGCCTCCCCTTCCACAAAATTTAAGCTCTTCAACCAAAACCAACAACAGTTAAAACAGTTTATGCTAACATCAATTTATTAGTATCTTTTACCATCTTTTTAAGCGAAGGATGTATGTGTGTGATACCTATGATGTATTTTAAAATACATATTTCATTAGTTAATAAAGATTAAAGTTTGAACATTTTCAGAAGAAAAATAAAATATATTTATCACTTAAATAGGATGCATTATTAATTTAATACTGAAACCAAATTTTTAAAATCCCTTTAAATAATAAAAGAAGTTTTACTGCTACAGATTAATTGACTTTTTTATTTCATGAAAAATATTACTAAGCAAAAACCCTGGCATTTTAATGTGTTCTAAGCTTTCATTTCTTAATATACTGCTTTGTTCATATTTGGCTTAACATTGGGTGTAAGAATTCCCTGTAGACCAGTACTGAAACTACAATGTGGTAGTTTTACAACTTAGTGTACTTGAAACATGATCTTCAACTTTAAACATAAACAACATTCATTGAATACCATGTTAGTGGTATACAAGTTCACGTGCCCAAGGTGCAACTAAAAAGATATTTGGATCAACAACTACAAGGCTCTGTAATTTTAAAACGTACAACACCAATAATATTACCAAACACTCTCTAAATGACTGTGATGTTGTGCCTACTTCCAATTTCTTCAATGTCATTCTCCGTTCTCAGGAAGAATTTTAATTTAAAATGCCATAATCTCTTGCCATTAAGTTAAGAAAACCAGCTCTTAACCAGAAGATGAGCACTCTTCCATTTTTTTTGTGAAAATGTAAAGAAAGAACAGAACAATCTTAATTAATAATTACAAGGTGACAAAACAAAAGTCACACTGATTTATGAGCAAAATTGCAAATTGTTCAGTTTTGCCAGGCAAAAGTCCACCAATATTTGCTATAAAACTTAACCCTGAGTGCTCAGAAAGCAGGGATTGCAAAACTGTTTCAGCATTTAGGTTTATCAGATTTCCCAGTCATCATTAACAGTCAAAAATAACTATCAATTTCCCAAGGATTTTATCTGAGAACCTCATCTGTCCCAGTTGTAAATCTTGTATCATGCAGTCTGCTTCATAGAAATTCTGCAACAACTCAAGATAATTAAAGCATTTATTGCAAGACAAACATCTTGCTACCAAATATCACTCAATAGCTCAGTTTTTGTTCTAATATAGTGCACATAATCAAGCTTGTTAAGATTCAGATACTATAACATCTCATAAGCTTAAAACTCTACAACAGAAACACACATTCTGCTTTTTGTTCTTCCTATATTAAGATAGAGTAGGCTGCAGATCATGATGTATTTATAGAACAAATTAATTATTTCAATATTGTAACAAACAGTGTATCTAAGTTACTTCTGTATAACAGGTATGAAGGCTAATAATTATGTTAAATTACATACTTAATACCTCTCAATGTCATGTTATTCAGATTTGTTATAGGGTATGAAAAGGGCAATGATGATCTAAGATTTCAGAATTACAAGAACTACAAAGTACTTATAATCTACAAAAATAAAAAATGATGCAGCAAAGTGTGTGCTGATTATTGAACATAAACTACTTAACTGAAACCAATGAACTATAATGCAGTTTACTTATCTGTAGTTTACGCAGTATGTTTTTATGGCTCATTAAAACTTTCAACAAAGATCTGACTGAATGAATGGTATTACACATGCTGTTATTTTACAAAAATGAGCTGTTAAGAGTTAAATATAATTATAAAGAAACTGTTTTATAATTTGTAACTTTTCTTTATATGAATAACATTCTTAACTTTCAAACATGCACACTTTTTTTTACCCTGTAATGGTTTATTATTGATCGGTCATACCTTAAAATATGAATATTATCACGAAGACATTAATCTATATGTATTTAGCTTAATTTTAATGTACATTTTTGTTACAAACAATTACCCAAATCAATTGATTAACACTTGAATATGGAAATATGATTAATTAAAGCTCTATGTCGTTTTTGCTGAAAAATTTAACATGTCAGGAATGACAGCCTATAAAAATCCATTTGTCCATCAAGCAAGAGATATTTGGACAGTATTATTCAATTTTATTAATTTAGCTTTCTGAATTTTATGAAAAATATCCATCTACTAATCCTGATTAGCACCTTTATAACAGTAAGTTTACTTGACAAAAACAATATTTCACAGTAACTGGTAATCCAAATTTTGGAAAATGGAGAAGGATTACCTCTCAACCATGTTTAAAACATATCTCTTAATAAACATTCCTCCATATGAAGTCAAAATCTACAATTATAAACTGTAAAACTTGTTGAACTTACCATTTTAGTGCTGTTTGATATTTTTTTTTTTTTACAAATTTACCCACTGTTTATATACATTGGAAATTATTATAAAAACTTGATATGGAAAAAATATGCAATAAATATACTATTTTATACATTTAGTCAGTTTTCAACTTGTTTTATATTCATTAATATTTTACCAATTGAAGAAGTCACCACTTTTGGCTATAACTCATGCAAACATGAAGCAAAAGTGAGAAAGATTTATCAGTGACCAATGACCTCACTTTTCAAAATGGCATCACTGTTACTTTTTTTACACATTGTATCATGATTTCTGCCAACAAGTTGTTTGTAAAAATAATTTTTATTTAAAATATATAACTTGTTTTCAATAAATAATAAGTTCTTTTATTCCTGAGCATTGTTTGCATAAGACAACAAAATATTCAACAAAAAGGGATCTGTGTCATTAAAATAGTTTGTATTCATTTACCATGCTTGGTAAACCTAACTAAACTTACCTAATGCCCTGACATAGAAGAATAACCCTTTAGCTTTGAAACACATACAATGTAACAGAAACATTATCAGGCACAAAATACTATCAAAAAATTCCCAGATTTGTTATTTCCTCCTAAATATTGTGGACTTTGTATTAATCCTTTGTCAGCTCTTGGTATTTGATGTGATGAAATATCACAAATTACTGTTAAAATCATTTTGTTTACTCTCTGTTGATGTACACAGATTAGGACCTGGTTCATCCAATTACTTATATCTGTTAACTCTAGCTGTTTTCAAAACTGAGTTTCATTAGTAACTGTTCAGACCACATGTGTGACATGATACAAAGCTGCAGTTGTTAGATGTAAAATTTCCACAACATATATTAATAATAATAATAATAATAATAATAATAAAGCAGTTGAATTACACTCTGATTTATTAATATATTGTACAGAAACAGATAATCTGTCATTAAAAGGATATAATTACAATTTATCATACCTTGAGAGGAGGTTTGAAAATTTGGCTTCCACCATCAAATCCACACATCATCTGTGATCCCTGGAAACTAGCTGAGCCTTGATAGTTTAGTGGACCAAAAGAAGGTTCCATTGAATGATCATTTATGCCAAATTCATCTGAGACACCACCATGTTTCATCTTGACCCATCCTATACCATTTACATTGTCCTTATCTGAGATACCATGCATGTCTCGACTTGACATTGACTGTAAATCACCTGTTCAGATATACAGTAAATGCTTCAAATACAAAGACAATTTTAAAGTGATGAATTATTAAAAAATTCAAATGCTTTACAAATAAATCCATGAAATTTACTATAAATTCACAAAAATTATTATTATAAGCACATAAACTTTAAGAGAAAAAGCCACGCTTGAATATATAAACCTCATGAGAGCAGCATTCCCTGCATATATACATATATATATATATATATATAAACAAAAACTACCTATTTTATAGAATTACTAACATATATTTCAAAATAATATGTTTCTCAGGAATATTTCATAAAAGATACCCTATACTGCTCCTTTATCCAGGAAAAAAATTATAAAATCTTGAAACTTCCAATTACACTTATTTATAAAACCCACCTTTAAATATCAACAACTATTATTATAAATAGACAACTTTTGTGAAGGATGACATTATCAATTAAAAGACAACAATTTATATTTGTATATATATGTATATATATAAATATAAATTTACTACTCGAACAGTCAAGCAAGGGTTAACATCAAATGGATGGACTGTGTTAAAAACAGAACCTATGATGAAACACTTAACAAAACAGGCCCAAACAACACAAAAACTGCATTAGAGACACTGCATAAACTAAAAGTACCACCAGGGCACAGGCTATAATGTGAAATATAAAATGTGCCATAGGTTTTGGAGGTTACTCTGAAAGTAGGATCCACATTGCAGGTGGGATACACTGTTTTTCCAGTCTCATATATTAAATAAAATAAATAAAAATTAAGTAACAAAAATAAGTTACGAGAGTAAAATGTGGGTAATCAAGTCCACATCTATATTACCCTTCAGTGCCTCAGACAGTAGTGGGAAGGTGACTACTCTCCAAAGAAATATAAAAATGAAAAACTGGGTGTAAGTAAAACAAAGTTAACTCCTGACTTTGGCATTCCAGCTCTCATTATTTATTTTAATTCAATATTTTTTTGGAGAGCAGTCAATCTTCCCACAACTGTCTGCAGACAGTGTTTTGTTTGTTTTTGAATTTTGAGCAAAGCTACGTGAGGGCTATCTGCACTAGCTATCCCTAATTTAGCAGTGTAAGACTAGAGGGAAGGCAGCTAGTCATCACCACTCACCACCAACTCTTTGGCTACTCTTTTGCCAACAAATAATGGGATTGACTGCAACATCATAATGCCCCTACAGCTGAAAGAGTGAGCATCTTTGGTGGGATGGTGATTCGAACCCGCGACCAGCAGATTGTGAGTCAAGCTCCCTAACCACCTGGCCATGCCACGCCCTACAAGCAGTGAAGGGTGATATAGATGTGGGACATTGTCAGTGTGAGCACCCACATCCTGTTCTCCTAACTTATTTTATCTTTCTTACTTAATTTTTGTGTATTTTCTTTAACATGTATTTTATGTTACCCACCATCATGCTCAAAGTTGAACAAAAAATGCAGCCTGACTAACTAATGAATAAATATTTACTGTAAAATTCTTATCAATGCTATAAGTGTAGCTACCAGTTTTGTTGCTAATTTCGATTTCATTCCTTTAAATCACACGCTCAATCCTTTTTTGGCCGCACCTCTTTTTCACATTTAAGGTGTTCTTGACTAGATTAAATAATGCACCAAAGAACATAGAATAATAACATGCTAAAAGCAGACAATGTTCGTTAACTATCACAATTTTTCTGGCTTTCAAGCTACTGGACAAGAGCCGTTAAAAATTTAGCTAATCTCTTCAATGTGTTTCCCATAGGAATAAAGTCTGAACTGGAAATGAAACAGACAACTTTCTGTACAAAAAAACAATGTAGTATAATTTGTCATTTGATAGATTAAAGCCTTGGCTTTCTATTGGTCATAAATAATATAGTATTAAACATCAGACAGAACTATTGGCAATTTTTGAAAGAAAGGATGTGACAGGTGAGCATGGCAAGAGAGATCTGATTGAAAGATCTGATAAGATTGAAAGCTGTAAAAGATATTCTTTGCCTGAGCAACAACATTATAATGAGTAATTTACATTAAATTTCATACTTATTGGAAGGGTGGTAAATAAAGTAGAGAAGAGGGCATAGCTAGAGAATTAATGTTACAATTCTTATACTAGGGGAAATTCAAGATTTTTTTTCTTAATATTACTTTATAACTTACATAACTTAAAACTTATATAACATTAACATTTGGATTATTAGCTATTTTTATGCCAAATTTATTCGTATACCGTGAAAAGAAAGTAGTTTAATTAAACTTTTAATGTAACTTACTAAAACTTTGTGAAATGCACAGAAAAATATGCCCATAGCAAAAGAGTTAAAAGATTGTGTTAATTGATTTCAAATTTTGTAAGCTAGTTTATATATATATATTTTTTTAATATGAATGATTTTACTACAGCTTGAGTTTCAAACGTAAATAGCTTTTATCAAAAGTGTTTGTTACATCTAACCTGTTTTTATTAATTTGAAAGAAGTAAAAAAAAAGTTTTAAAATTAGATGGCAATTATCCAGTATGTTATCAAGAGAAAAGGTACCTGTGCAAAAACATCTATAAACAAAAGTTAGGATATTATTAATTTTGTTTGAGTTAATTGATATGTTAGAAATATGTTTGATAAAACAGACTTTCACAATTTACTGGAACAGAGATATATGAATAATATACATAAATAAAAAGCTATCTTTCTCCAAATGTATATTTTTCCTGGCCTAAAAATGTGACTTTTGAAATTACCAAAACAATTTGATGTAAATGACGGTCAACAGTGCAAAAGAAATTTATGTAATAACCATGTCAATTTACATAAAATGTGATTTAAAAAATGCATGTAAGTATTTTTTTTTATAATACATATTTCCAATTATGACAAATATTGTCAAAACTAGCATTTGTTTTTTACAAACTGGTAAAACAATTTATGAACAGATTGAATTTGATTCATGTTTTTGAGCCTCAAAAGTGTTTTAAGCAATTTTTGTAAACTTATTACACTGTGATAGGTGTAGTGTAGTTAAGCCTTTTCTCAAGGAGCCATTTTTATGTGCTAGATTTGGTTGGTTGGTTGGAATTTGTTGGTGCAAATCAACTAGGCTATCTGTGCCAAACAACTGATAAAAAACAGTGAGAGTAAAATTGTTGTAAAATGTAAAAATAAATTGAGTTAAAACTAAAATACTTCCAAAATTCAGATAACAAATTTAAATACAATTAAAAAGGCCAATTGCTTTTAAAAAATTAACAATACAATCAAGTTGGACAGTGTCACCACCACCAATGACACCGTCCAATGTAAGAGACTTGTGGAAAAGATATGGTCATAATGACGGTACGATAGTAAAATATGGGCTATTGTGACTAGAGTGTCACAAATGCTACACATTGGTGGGTCAATACCAGATAAAAGAAAACCTGTGACTGATGTGTAGCCTTTGCCAGGACAACTTCCTCCTTCTGATCCTTATGGAAGCAAGACAGCCAAAGAGCAACAGAAGGTTTGATCTGGAAAAGCTTGTTATGAAGTTGCTCACCTCAAGTCAACTGCTAACTGGCACGAAGACGTGCCTTGAATATAGGCCCGTAGTCCATGTATGGGACAGGCACAGCCATGACAGCACCAGAACAGATGGACTTAGCAGTGGTGTTAGTGAGCTTGTTCCCACAAATATCGACATGCCCAGGTATCCATAAAAACTGGATGGAAACAGAAGATAGAGAAAAATGGGCCAGTCGTTGTTGAATATCAACAAGAACAGGGTGAGAACTAACGTTAAGCAATTCCAGAGCCAATAGATAGCTAAGCTGTACTGCATAGCTTCTACATGATCCAGGGCAAGAGAAATGGCATATAACTCGGCAGTGAACACAGACACTGTAGAGGGGATCCTGCAAGCAATTACTGAGCTACAGCAAATCATGGCCGAGTCTACAGAGCCACCATCCATGAAAATTGGAATAGAAGGATGGTTCGAAAGATGTTCAGCAAAGAGAAGAAAGTACTTCCAATCTGGAGTATCTGCCTTCCTCGGATTACTCAAGGAAAGGCACAGTTGGAGATAGTAATAAGCCATGGTGGAATCGGCTGATAATTGGGGACAGCAAAGTCATCCAATGCCAGATGCAATTCACTTAGTTGTGCTTGGATATGAAGGCCGAAGGGAGGAATTTTGGATTATCTGTTCTGAAAGTGCATGGCCCACTGAGGAAGAAAGATAATCTCAGGTGGGATGCTGTGGTAAGGATCAAAGCTTGGTATCATATTGTAGAGAAAGTTGCAACTGACAGAGGTGAAGAGGAGGTTTGTGGAACTCAGTGTAAAAACTCTGAACTGGAGAAGTGCAAAAAGCCCCCGAGCAGAGCCAAAGCCCCAGATGGTGAATGGGGTCCAGCATCTTCAAGATTGAGATCCTGGTAGAGACCATAGACCAAAGGACCATAATTCATGGAGGATGTTCAGTGCCCTCATACACTTGACACATAGCTTCTTGATGTGTGGAATGAAAGTACATTTACAGTCAAAGATAAGCCCAAGAATTCTGCCTCAGGGACCACGGGAAGAAGAACATTACCAAGACAGAGCCCACAATTGGGGTGTAGAAAAGAAGGGAAAGAGTTGAACCCACATGGACTTCGAATTTCCTGTCCAATAAAAAGTTCTGAATAAAAATGGGTAAATGGCAACACAACTTATATGAATGGAGGTCCCGCAAAATGCCGTATCTCCATGTAGTGTCATAAGCTTTCTCAAGGTCAAAGGAAAGATGTTTCATTTTGATGAAGGCTTCCCTGATTGACATTTCAAGTCAAAGCAGATGGTCCATGGTGGAGCACTGTCGACAGAACTCACACTAGGTGGGCGAGAGGAGGTTGTTTGATTCGAGCATTAACCATTTTCTCCAAAAATTTACAAAGACGGCTAGTCAAAGCAATTGGACAATAATTAGAAGGAATCTTAGGATTCTTTCCAGGTTTAGAGAAAAAGAAGACAATAGTCTAGTGCCAAGCATCAGGAAAAACATGCCAGATCCAGTTAAAAACAACCAGAAGAATGGCAAGAGAAGCAGGAGAGAGATGGCGCAGCATCTCATAGCGAACTTCATCAGGTCCAACCGATGAAGAGCAAGTTTGAGTTCCACCAGTTTAAAGGGGTGATTATAGTCGTAGAGACAATTGGCCTTAAAAGAAAGAGATGATCGTTCTGCCCTAGATTTGATGGCCAAGAAGATGGGGGAAGAAATAGAAGTGATGGATGCACGAGAAAAGCACTCACTGAGAGTATCAGCAATGCTCTGTACATCAGCAACTTCCTGGCCATTGAAGAGCAAGATGGAAAGGCGATGGGAGGCATACCACCCATTGACCCTCCGAATCTTGTCTCATACAACTTTGGAACTGGTGGTAAAAGAGATGCTAGTTGTAAACTTAATCCAAGGTTCCTTTTGGTTTTTACGTCTGACATGCCGAGCATGGGCACAGGCACGTTGGAAAGCAATGTGGTTTGAAAGAGTGGCATACCTGCAAAAGGTATCCCAGGCCCATTTTTGAGCCTTCCATGCCTCCTGGCAGACAGGACTCCACCATGAATGAGAATACTAAGGAAAATGGGTTGAGGAATTAGAAATAGAGTGAGCAGCTGCCTGGACAATACAGCCAGTCACTGCTACCATGCAGTCATCTTTTGATGGCAGACAGACAATGGCAGGATCAAGTTCTGAGAGATCAGTGAAAGGGGCCAACTTCCCCCATGGCACACATGTCGGGTGGCATCAACCACGTGACAATCTCCCTCAAAATGATAAGCAAATGATCACTGCTTTGATGGTCACTGTCAACCCTCCAAGAAAAGCAGGAAAAAAGTGAAGAGGAGCAGATTAATAGATCAATGGCAGTAAAAGACTGACAAGGTGCATGAAAATAAGTATAAGAACCAGTATTGAAGAGAGAAAGGTTGTGATCTGAGAGCATATGCTCTACTAAATGACCCCTCCCATCAATATCAGCACCACCCCAGAGGGAATTGTGTTCATTAAAGTCTCCCAGGAGTATAAAGGGAGATGGCATCTGTTCAACAAGAGCATCAAGGTCGGATTGATCATAAGTCTCTCCAGGAGACAGGTAGAGAGAACAAACAGGGATGGTACGACCCATAGAAACACGGAAGGCTATGGCCTCCAAAGGTGTATCAAGTGACACAGACAAGGTGGGCATGTGCTGGTTGATCAGCAGTGCCATCCCTTCATGCACTCATCCATCACACAACCTGTCATAAAGAAAAATGTGAAAAGGTGACTGTATCAGCAGGTTTCAGGAATGTTTCCTGTAAGGAAAGACACAAGGGATGATAGAAATTAATCAAGGCCTTGATGTCATCGAGATCAGAACGAAAACCTTGACAGTTTCACTGTATCAAAGTGGCCATTTTTACGAAGGTGGAAGAGAACTCTTTTGTTTACGACCACACTGTTTTTCTTTACTAGAAGGAGGTCTGTCGACCTCCATGGATACTGCTCGTGGTCGAGTGGGCAGATCTCTGTCATTGGACTTAGATTCTAGTGACTGAGGGTGTGAATGAATGATTGTTCTGCATCTTGGAGCTGAAGAAGATGGACCCAAGCAGACACCGGAGGCCAGGGCCATAGGATGTGGACCCGGGCCATCATTGGAAGGAATGGTAGTGACAAAGACAGGAGTAGATGTGGACTTGTTAACTCGATCATCCATTGAGGTCAAAAGACTCTTCAAATGATGTGATAAAGTCTCTGACAGAGGCATGGAAATGTCCGTCTGCACTCCCACCATAGCAGTGGAGCATAGTGCAGCGACATATGTCCAAGATGGAGTAGGGGACAATAACTTCTGAGCCTTGGGGTAACAAATGTTGTTGACAGTCTTTAAATGCTGTACCTCTTTCTCCTCCACCCACTTTGGGCAAGATCTATAGTAAGAAGGGTAGGAACCCAAAGTGAGGGTCCAGTTTGCACTCATAGGAGTCATGGTCCTTGCCACCACAATGAGCACATGTCACAGAACCATGACAAGATGCCCTCAAATGACCAAATAGCTGACACTAGAAACATCTGAGAGTTGAGAATATATGGCCATAATAACTTGCCTTGACAGTGGTAGGTGGACGTGGCAATGTAAAAGTCAAAATAAGAACACTGATAGGCATCATAATTCCGTCTTTACGAGTGGAGATACGTTGCACTGCAGAAACTCCTTGGCTGGAGAAACCAGCGAGAATTTCTGACTCGGGGATGTTCTTCAAATCTCTCTCAACAATAACTCCTGGTGAGGAATTCAAAGTTGCATGGAGAGTAACCTCAATGGGTATATCCCCAATGGCCTGTGATTTCAAGAGAAGATCACTGTGTTTTGGTGTAGATGTTTCCACCAAAATGTCCCCAGAATGTAGTTTCTTTACTGGCTTTGGAAAGCCAGCAAGCCCCTCTTATCCCTTCTCAATGAAAAAGGGAGAAATTTGCCATAAAGATTTTTGTGACAAAAAATGCATAATGAGAAAACGAGGTACAGAAACAAGATGAGTTGAAGATTGAAGGTCAGAGTCTTCAAAGCATGGTTGTTTACCAATAAGCTGAGTTTTTACTATTTTATTTTATTAGGATTTGGAGGGATCCATAATATAAGGAGAAAGATTCAGTACCCACTAACCCCACCCACCATTGGGTCCTACAAGGGGACACACTACAATGTCAAACAAGGACACTGCAGCAATGACAGGGTTTTGTGAGCACTATACCTAAACACCAGCATCAGACACAATGTCCACAAAACCTGTTGAGAATGCCCAACACTGGTACTCAGTTGACCCTAGCCCAACAGGACCAGCCAACTGATCCTAGGTGAGCCACTCCAAGGCCACCCATCTATAGGAATTCAAGGCCAAAGTGGTGTGTTGCAGTGCTCCTAACACCACTCAACCACCAGGATCCTCTCCTCCCCTTCACACTGAAAATACAGAACCTTCCCTAGGAGGTCTCCTCACCATGTACAGGAATCCACCTCAAGGGGACATGGTAGACACAGCTTTACAATAAACACAAAAGACACTCCAAGAACTTCTGATAAGAATAAAAAGCTTGAATGTGAATTGGTTGCTAAAATATCATTTACACAATAATTAAACAGTTCAAGATTGTGCATATTTTGTTTAAGTAGATTGCCTAGTAGAGATATCTATATTGGGATTTTGGAAATTTGTACTTGAATACACTTAAGTAAAGATATATTCAGTTTCTAAGTTATGAACAGGTTGCACTCATGAATTATGAAAATTGCAACAAATTGTACTATACTGATTTGGTGGTTGCAATGTACAGGGAATTTATTAATATCAAAAAATGTGGTCCTATAAAGGTTTGGCTACAACTTAAATATTATATTTATATTAGATATATATATATTAAATATATAACTGTAAAAGACAGAGAATACATCAAACTCGTATAACCAATTTTAGTTCGATATCACATGTTGTTGAAAAATTCTGTCTGATACCTCCCCTTAAATACCTACAAAATGAAATTATAGCTGAAATGTTGAAATTTCAACTTCTTTTTATGATTATTTTGGATAGTATTTAAAAAAAAAAAGTGCTAGCCCTAAGTTTTGTTTTTTTTGCAAGTTTTATTGATATGGTGGAAACTGTTAAATTTCTCATCTGCACAGACACACCTTGTCAGTGTACGAAACAAAGCCTAAGATATGTAAATTGCTTTTACAATTTTATCACTTATTTCTAGCTCAAATAGTGGAAAAACTTTAAAATTCAACTTTCTTCCCATTTTTTTAGAACTTCCAAGTTTCTAAAGCTAGTAAAATATAAATATATAATTTGAAATCTGTGATTATTTTCTTTCTTACAATTTATTTGCCATAGACTTCCCTTCCTTTCTGGTGTAGCTTATAAATTTTTAAACTTGTACATAGTTCATCCCAAGGCTATGCAGTTCTCAGTGTTCTTACCTCCAAATAATGCAAGTTACTAATGGTATTGTATTGTTTAACTGTCAAAGGGAATATAACAAATACACTTAATGGATACATTTCTGTGTTTGTGTTTATTTTATTGAAATACTTGTTTTATTAGATCATTTTCTGTAAATAAGAATTCTCAATATTGTATTTTGAAATTAAGCATGCATGGCAGCTTCATAAAAAAGGTAGAGACAACAGTTTTATATTTCCAAAACTAGCATTATAAAATAAAAAAAGTGAAGAAACTTTCCTAGTACAAGAAATAAGATACTATTAAAAGCTAATTTCTCCAATTATTTATCTATATGTCATTTACACCAGTATAAGGCCTAATTATGCTTTATTTTATGTTTTTAAACAACAGAAATGGCAGTCTTGGTGAGCTACACTAATCACTAGTAACATAAGTGTAATTCTGTGTTTGTTTATTCCACCAGCTACATTAATAATATGCAACACCAATACTTTTATTATATTTAAAAAATAATTAATGTTAACAAAATTCTATTGCAAAAACCAACAAATATACCTACTTAAAGCATCTTCCAAGTTCATGTTGTTGTGCTTTAAGGCATGTTCCACATCATTTTTCTGGGGGGAGAAAGACAGTGGAAAATCTTATCAGACATGTTTTGATACAAATAGGCTATGGTGTTTAATATCAATACAAAATGCAAAGTGAAGAAATTTTCCTAATACAAGAAATATGATACTTATAATAATTGCATTACCACTTTTAACAGTAGGTCTCACTGCTCTTCCCATTTCATTATATCAATATATATACACACACACACATAATACATTAAAAGTTCACTTCAACAAAAGTGACAATGAATAAATGTGCAACTATAATTGTTTCTCTTCCTGTAATTGGTTTCGTAGCTTCAGTATTAAACTTTATTGCTCTTGAATTGTAAAATCTACATACTAAATACTTACAATCTATTTTAAAAGCAAACAAAGTTACATAATGCTTTTCAAAAAATACTTAAGAAACACAAATATACATCCCTTAAAATCAATAACAAACTATAAAAGATTAAAACCTTTAAAAACTTAATACTAAATGCTTCAAAATTTATACAAAAAAACATTTCATAAACCTTTCCTTACTTTAAAAAATGTGATATTACAATACATACCAAATGATTTTAAGTTTTCAATTTTTGTGCCTTTAAAAAAAACTTTGGCATCTAGCAAATTTCTTTGAATGACTAAAAAAACAACAACAAAAAAATATATATATTTTTCAAAAAATAATCTTCTCTTTACAGTTCAACATGCAAAAACATTAAAAAAATATTCAAGAGTACTGACACAACTAAAATAAGAAGAAAAAATAGTTTGCTAACAGGATGGGGCAATTATCCAAATTTCGGACAAATTATTGATAGTATATTATTCAGTCTTAGACCTGTCAGTTCTCCAACATATATATTTCCAAATATTGTACATTTGAAAACATATTTTATCTTATCAGTATTTTATCTTATTCAATTCATAAATGGCTATTCTGTATTTTAACATCAATGTGAATATCTGCTGAAGTACTTTCAACTACATTTTATGGTACATTTTATTCTTAATTATTTCTGGACACACACACACACAAACATTTCAAAAAATCACAAATTTTAAATCAAGGCATTATTTACGTACTTTGATGTTCTAACTTCATCATTGGTATTATTTATTCATTGACAAAAACTTTAATATTTTGAATTAAATTCATTACAATTTGCTAATTTATTTCAAAAGTGAATAAATTAATGTGGATTGAAATGAAAAGAGAAGGTGGAAGACTTTCAAATTGTCGTCTTCTACACTTGTGTCTCTATAGCAGGCAGTTGCCATCCATTCTACAAAGTTTCATCATGCATACTCTGCCTAAACAGTCTATCAATGAATCATCATTACTTGTTTCATTCTCTAGATCAAAGCAACATCAAATTGAAATTACCTTAAATCCCATCTCTGTGAGCAAACAGAATGGTTTACTTGCCCAAATTATATCTTTGGTTAATGGCTTAGTACTCTGGAAAAAACAAAACAAAACACAAATATTAACAAAATTAAAAAATTAAATTCAATATGGATAATCCAAAAAGTTACTATCCCATTTCTTACTATGTTTAAAAACTTACAAAAGTGAACAAGGATTCACAATATTTTCAATCAAAGTTATAAATATTATTCAAAAAATAAACACTTGAAACAGATAAAGTTGGATTCAGTGTAAAAAACATTAATATTGTTCTTCTGAGCAACTATAACACTTATGTACATGATTTCTTATTGATAGAATATATTACCCAATTTCTAGACAGACGACATTTGTTGCAGGAAACATTAACATACTATTTGCAACTTATAAGCCTAGTTTACATTTTATAGGGTGATAATACACAATTAATTAATCTATTAGTGATCAGCACAATACACATTTGTACAATGTTGTACACTGAAATTAGCAATTGTTCAATGAAAAAGAAAAGTGCTTGGTACTGCATAACAGAAAGTTCCAAATGAAATACTTCTGATATAATGAATTGAAATAAGACTAATAAAATTATATATATATTTAGATTAATGCAATGGTTTCCAAGATGTAGGACAAATCAACATCTGAAGGAAGCAGTATCATTGAAAGTGGGAGCACAGGATAACTTAGAACAGCCTTGAAATAAACAATTTGTCAAGGGTGATTACAATTCTCAGGTGGCCAATAATGAGAGTAAGAAAATACATAGATTATTGACTTATTAAATATTTTCTCTTGTTTGCATTGGTAGAAGATAAACATAAGAGAGCTTAGAATAACTTAAGAGAAACCTTAAATTTTGGTAAGAATTCTTTCCATATAAATATTTTTCTGTTGTGAGCCTTGTTAGAAACTGAGTGAAAAATTCACTCATATTGGGAGGTGGGGGAAGGAGAGGTGAGGAATGTTATAAATAAGGGAGGTTCAGGAGAAAAAAAGGTTAAAGACTGATGGGTTAATGTTACAGTCAGTAGTCTATTTTCATAATGTTCATAATGACTATGATTTTTGCATCATGCTGACATCAGTGTAGTAAATTTAATCTTATAAGAATGAAGATTTTAAGAGTAACATTTTCAAAAAACTACTGTTACTGGTATTAAAAAAAGTTAATTATCAATTGTAACACTTGTTTCTGAAGTAGCATATAAAATGTTAAACATTCTTTAGAAGATGCCAAACTATTAGGTTCTCAAGAAATTAATGTTGCTTTTTTAGATGAAAAACCCAAACAACTTATATATATCAAAACAAAACATTTATTAAATGAAATAGTTTCTATTCTTATCGATGATGCTTTTCCATCTTACAATCAGGTTGTTAATGCCCTAATTAAAGAAATCACTTGGTTTTGAAGCAAAAAACATGTTGTTTTCCTCTTTAACATCTTCCACATTTGCATACGTTTTCCCTTTAAAATGGTGTTGCAGCAAATGAAAAAACATAATCTTGTGTTGCGTCAAGTGTGCCACATGTGGATGTGCATTGTCATGGAGAAGAACACCTTCCCGATTGACGAGTGAAGAACGTTTCTGAAGAAAGACTTGATTTAAACGTTCCAGTTGCTGACTATAGATCTCTGCATTGACAGTTTG